TCTGTCAGAGCCAATCAGAGAGCAGGGGAGGTGAACAGGTGAAAACTCAGCACAGATACACGGGATCAGGTCAAGAACCCTACACCAGAACCCTGGATCAGAAGACGCTTCAGCTCGGTTTTGTCACGGCCCCCCCTCTGTGAACAGACTGCTTGGGGGGGGGGCTTCAATCGGCCTTTCGTTTCATCACTTCTAGTGTGTAGTATTACTATCAGAGTACTTCTTAAATCTCTGGTCGAACAAAGGAACCAAACCTGTAAGTTTGTTCACTAAATATATTGCTAACGTCATAAACACATTCTGGTCGCCATCTTGACTAAATGTTCCCGCCACACAGACACTACCGTCTTCAGTTCTTTGTCCGTTTGTTGAATCACTTCTTACCGTTAACGGATCCATCGAAGCCGGTCGGAGCCTTGAGTTAGCCGCCGCAGCTAACGTTAGCTAACGTTAGCTGGTTAACGCATCACATTCACAGTTATCTTTAGTAGTCAGTGAAAGCACACCGACACCAGACAGACCATAACGTTCACATTGCCCGATCATCGCCGCTGCTCTTCGGCGGTAGCGCCGTCTGCTCTCCGGCCAACTTCACGCTCTCAAACCTTCCTGTAGTAAAAAAAAACAGCGCCATGGTATCTTTATACGATCCAGCAACCAATCACAGAGTGGATCAGAGCCATGGTGCGGCATGACCCGCCCTACTCTTTTTCTGATTGGGTCACCCTGACACAACCCTAACCGTGCCCGAACGAACCAATCCAACCAACGAAGGCAACGAGTATTAGCCAATCAGAGGGAAAGTAGGGCGGGTCGTGCTGTTTGGACCAATTGTAATCCAGCTCCTACTGACATATTTACGACGCTGGGAAAAGACATTGAAGGCATCACCAACCGTTATTAAAAAAAACAAAAACGGTCGCTTTATGAAGTTTTCACCCGTTTTATTTTAAGTTTGTTTTTATGACAAAGTGGAGACAAGCAGGAGAAGAAGGAGGTGTGAAGATAAAGAGAAGAAGGAGGTGTGAAGATAAAGAGAAGAAGGAGGTGTGAAGATAAAGATAATAAGAAGGTGTGAAGATAAAGATGGACGCCAGAGACGAGCGATTGGATCCCGTCCGGAGCTTCACCCTCACCAGCTTCAGGTTGGAGGAGGAAAGATGGCGGCGGTTTGTCTCTGAGGAGGAAAACCAGGTGATCTTCAGCAGCTTCTTCAACACTCCGGACTACAAGAACCTGTTCCTCTGTCGGGACCCTGAAGATGGAGGACTCTCCATCGGCTTGGACCCCCCTCAAAATGTCCAAACTAAAGTGGTCTGCGTCTCCAGAGCAGGTCGAGAAGTCATCACGAGAGAAAATGTCCAAAAGATTTTAGTAATCCAAGAAGTTGAGGGAGAAGACGCCAAGAGCTTCATCATTGCTGTCTCTGAGGAGGTGAGACAGCTAGCTAAGCTAAGGCTAATTATAGCTAAGGATAACATTTAGACTAACTGGGCGACCGTGGCTCATTGGCATGAGCAAGACACTGAACCCCCGGCTCGCCGGGCGCCTGTCATTGGCAGCCCACTGCCATATATATATACTCCTATATACAGGGATGGGTCAAATGCAGAAGTCAAATTTTGTGTATATGACAATAAAAAGGGTTTCTATTTCTACTCTATTCTAAGGCTAATTCAAGCTATGGCTAACATTTAGACCACACGTGTCAAACTCAAGGCCCGCCACGTCATTTTATGTGGCCCGCGAATCCACCAGCAAAAAAAATATATATATTTTTTTTATTTTGGAAAACAAATAGACTTGAAAATAAAAGTATCCCCATGGTCGAAATTATGAGATAGAAAGTTGAAATTCTGAGATAGCATGTTGAAATTATGAGATAGCATGTTGAAATTATGAGATAGCATGTTGTCTGTGTACCGACATTAAAACTATCACAACAGGTGGACAGGAGAGGGAACAGCCTGTAAAGAGGTTTTCCATCAAGTGATTGAGTTGAAAAAGATCGACAAATAATCCCAAAATGTCCACGAAGAGAAGAATTGATGCAGAGGGAAGAAGATGTAATGAAAGATGGGAAAGAGAATACATGTCTGTGCTTCAGGGAGAAAAACGGGTCTGTCTTCTGTGTTATGATGCGTGTCGGTGATGAAGGATACTATTCACGTCGGCATTTTGACACCAAACACGGAGCTAAATTTAGCCTCCAAGAAAAACATCAAATTGTCCAAGAATTAAAAGGCAGAGTGCAATCACAGCAGAATATATTTACAGAAGCTACAGCCCAGTGCATGCTAAAGGTATGTGAGCAGGTGAGCTCCGACCAGATACAGACTTTTACAAATGTCAGTTTGTGAAGAAACACCATCGCAGACCGAGTTCAGGAACTAGCAGCAATCTAACAACACAGCTAGCTCAGAGACGAGATACATCATCTATCAGTGTTTGTAAGAGGCTGAAGGCAGACCTGACTCTGTGAGGAGCTCTTGTAGCTGCCATGCACGGGACGACGGCAGGGACATTAGTGATGCAGAGAGGTGACAACAATAGCTTTGAACAAAGTTAATGTAATAACTTGTGTTTGATATTTGTCTTTGTTATTTTCTTTAATAGTTTGATCTTTGATAGAGTAATGTGGGTTTCTTAACCCTAAATTAAAATGATTTATGTTATAACAACAGAAATGTGCTTAAATATAATTTTACATTTATATAACTGCATGTACAATATTTTTACACTTGAATAAACAATAATCAAAAGCAGAGAGTTATTTAACAATATGTTAGGAGTAGTTACAGTTATACAGTCTTACAGTTACAACCGGCCCTTTGAGGGAAACATGATGCTGATGTGGCCCGGAGTGAAAATGAGTTTGACACCCCTGATTTAGACTAACTGGAAACTAAGGCAAATTTAAGATAAGGCTAGTATGAATATGGCAAATATAAGAGTAAGCTTAACTGGCCAATTCAAGATAAGTCTTAACATTAAAGCTAACTGGAAGCTATGGCTAATTCAAGATGAGCCAACATTAGGGCTAGCTGTGAGCTATGGCTAGTTCAAGATAAGGCCAACTGTTAGCTTAAGCTAAGGCTAACACATTGTCCATGGCAGTTGTTTCCAAACACTGGGTCAGGACCCACAGTTCTCAATCCCTTTGGTTAGAAACCTGCTCTACCTGCAGGACGTCCAGGCTGAAGGTTAAAGGTGTGTCCTCTGCTCTCAGGTGACCTGCCCGTTGCTTATTAACCCAGAGACGAGCAGAAGATGGGCGGTGGGCTTACCCGAGGAGGCTCTGAGGTCCACGGAGCAGCAGAGGAACGAGGCGCTGGTGATGGAGGCTCAGATGGAGGGAGGAACTTTCCTCACTTATCCCGAAGCTCTTCATGAGGACCAGCTTCATGGAAACACCTACACAGATGACACTGAAGAGGGGTAGGACAGACTTCTTCTTCTTCTTCTCCAACACTGAAGCTTCTTCTTCTTCTTCTTGGCCCAATCCCAACGTCCCTCCTAAACCCTCAGACCCTGAACCCTCAAGGACTCACTGAGGTCACCTGGTGAGTGGGTGAGTGTGAGAGACTGTGAGGGCTTGAGATGGTGGAAATATGAACGGGACATATCACCTTACCATAAAAACAACAAAACATATGATGTATAGTTGTGTGTATTTATTGTATATTATTTACTCCCTGATGTGAACGTCTTCAGGCTCTTTCCTCACTAGATGAGGTAACTTCAGATAATCTATTTACTCATTTTTGTCAAAACGGCTTCAATGACAAAATCAAATATTTGATGAATAAATGAATAAATATCTTCTGATTTCATGTTTTAATGTTCCATCTTTAACCCTTAATGTTTCTGAGTACATGTAATACTCCAGGCTGAAAACACTGATTTACCTTTTTGTTACGTCTCCATGCGTCCACTGGTTACCCCGTGTTTAACGTCACATTGCAATGATTTGTGGGTAATTCCCTTATGCTAAGGGTTCACACCAAACGCGTCGCGAATTATTCGCGCGAGTAGATTACATACAAAGTCTATGCACAGACGCGATGAGACTGGCGCGGCGCTAATTTGCGATGGTGCGGCGCGATTGACGCAAATTTGTGGCGCGATTGACGCAAATCCGCGTCAAACGCGTGAGCTGAAATTTTTCAATTTCTGCAAAATATTCGCGTTACGCCCCGGCGCGATAGCCTATCAGCGTTGAGTTGCTCCCCCTGACATCACTGACTTCCTGCCGTTGTTGAATCAGGAAATAAATACTGTAGCCGTCTGTGTTCACCCAGAGCTCTACGATCAAATCGGCATCATTACGTAGTTATTCCGGAGTCCCTTTTTGTCGGTTTATTGCCGTTAAATCACAGCCAAATCAGTTTATTTAGTGTTCATACAGCTGTAGTAAACAACGACGTGTGGCTTGCTAGACACAGTGAATACAGCTCGATAAAATCCATGGAGCTCCTCTGAACAATATTATGAACCAGACATGACGGCGTTTAGTTTCCCGGGATATCTGTGACTTCCACAACACGTACTAAGCAGAAATAGAGGTTCTTTTTTTCATGGTTAATGGCGGACAGTTGAACGGCTTTCAGGGCGATAAGCCCCGCCCCCTCTCCGGCGCGATTCACACATGAACACAAATGGTCCCCGGCGTTTTGACCGGCGTCGCGATGAATTCGCTACGCGTTTGGTGTGAACGCAGCATAAGGGTTCATAAAGGAAACAAAATGTCTGCCAGAGCCTCAAACACTCAATGATTTGACAGACAGAACTAAACCCTCACGGACTTCGCGGGAGTGCGCCTCAAAGTCTGTGAGTCCGTGAGGGAGGGCATTGGGATTGGCCCTGAAGCTTCTTCTTCTTCTTCTTCTTCTTCTGTCCTCTAACAGTAAACCTTCTTCTTCTTTATCTGCTTCTTCTTCTCTCTAACAGGAAGTTGTCACACACTAAGCTGCTCCACTCCTGTGACTCCACCATCACAGAGTGGGTGAAGCTGGTCTCAAACTTCCTGCAGCAGGACTCGTCTCAGCCGGTTCTGGACGGACTGGATCCCCTTCCCTCAGACGAGTTTAACTTCTGGAGGACTAGACTGAAGAACCTGCACCTGATCCAGCAGCAGGTCTACTATTACAGTATTATCTTATGATGTAGTATTCTAATGATATAAAGTGACATAAAGTCCTTCCTCTGGTTCTTGGTCCAGCTGAGGAGCAGCAGAGCCCAGCAGGTGGTCTCTGTGGTGCAGAGAGCAGACAGTGTGTACTGGTCCAGTCTCAGAGACCTGTACTCCGAGGTCCAGGAAGGTGAGACAGGAAGTCTCCATCAATGTGGGACATGAGTCCTCAGAACCAGATCAGTCCTCTGACCCGTCTCTGTTGGTCCCCTCAGGTCTGGATGAGGCCCAGGACCTCACCGTGAACCTGGACCCTGTGCAGGAGAAGCTGGAGCAGCTGGAGCGGATGGACTACCTGCAGGTACCTCATGGACCGGTCCTCCAGGGGTTTACTGTGACATCACCACTGTGTGTGTGTGTGTGTGTGTGTGACATCATCACCACTGTGTGTGTGTGACATCACCACTGTGTGTGTATGTGTGACATCACCACTGTGTGTGTGATTGACAGCTGGGGGACAACATGGCTGCTCTGATGGAGGAGGTGAGACAGGTGTGGATCAGGTCTGAGTTCTACCGTAGACCCTGTAGGGTAGTGGTCCTGCTGCAGGAGATCTGTAACCTGTTCATACAGATGGTAACACACACACACATACAAACACACACACAGACATACAAACACACACACACCAGTTGATTGTGCTCCTCCTTCCTGGTCTACAGAGCAGGAGGTTCCTTAATGAGGAGGAGGTGATGGCTGGTCTGGGATCAGATCCTGGTCCCAGACTGGATGATGTCACACTGGTGATCTGGACCCTTCAGACCCTCAAAGAGGAGTACAGGTGGTGCAGGACCCAGCTGGAGCAGGTACACCTCATGTCTACACCACAGACATGTACATAGAGTCCTGGTCCAGGTCCAGGTTCAGGTCTGAGGATTCTTCTGGTTTCTCTCTGCAGGACGGAGACACTCACAACTGGGACTTCCCTTCAAACTTGGTCTTCTTCAACCTGGACCACTTCCTGTTACACCTGCAGAGCATCCAGGTACACACACACACACACAGACACAGACTCTTCCTATCCTCTCCTCCTCTCCTCTCCTCTCCTCCTACAGGAGGTGTTCAGTGTCAGCCTGAAGCTGCATCAGTTGGACTCTGCGGTCCTGTCTGGTGTTGGAGGCCAGATGTGGACTGATGTGGTTCAGCAGGTGTATCAGGACTTCCTGGGTCATGTGAAGGTTCTGTGTGACTCCACCTGTGACCCCACCGACCCTGAAGACCAGGTGACGGTCATGTGATGTGTGTGAGGAGCTTCCTGTTGGATCCTGAGCTGTGTGTAAGTCCTCCTCCTCTTCCTCCTCCTCTTCCTCTCAGAGCTTCCAGCTGCACCTGAACCACTTCTGGGTTCAGGTCTCAGACCTAGAGAGACGGCTGGTGTCGGTCCTCAGCAGAGCCTTTGAGGACTGCTGCGCCTCCTCCTCTGGAGCAAAGGTACCCTCTAACTCTAACACAGTACTGATCTGATCTGGTCTGGTCCGGTGTGGTCTGATCCGGTACGATCTGGTCAGGTCTGATCTGAACTGGTCTGATCCCGTCTGGTCCGGTCCGGCCTGATCTGGTCCGGTCTGATCTGTTCTGTTCCGTTCCGATCTGATCCGGTCTAGTCCGGCCCGATCTGGTCTGATCTGGTCTATTCTGATCCGGTCTGATCTGCTTTGTTTCAGCTGGTGAAGATGTTCGGGTTCCTCCTGGACCGTCCTCTGATCCAGGATCAGCTGCGTCCTCACCTGACCCGGCTGGAGGAGCTGGTCCTGGAAGAGCTGGATCAGACCGAGCTGCTGTTCTACAGTCAGAGAGAGGAACCGAACGCATTCAGCAGGGTCACTCCGTCTGCTGCAGCCGGACTCTGCTGGACTCAACAGCTCAGACTGAGAGCTGAAAACTCTCTGGACCACTACAGGACGCTTCAACAGCTGTAAGAGGACCACTGAAACCAGGACCTGGACTCAGTCTCTGTGTTGTGTTCAGGGACCTGGACTCAGTCTCTGTGTTGCGTTCAGGGACCTGGACTCAGTCTCTGTGTTGCGTTCAGGGACCTGGACTCAGTCTCTGTGTTGCGATCAGGGACCTGGACTCAGTCTCTGTGTTGCGATCAGGGACCTGGACTCAGTCTCTGTGTTGCGTTCAGGGACCTGGACTCGGGTGCCTCCCAGCTGATCCTGCAGAGGTTCCAGCAGATCGTGGACCTCCTGCAGGACTTCACAGACCGAGGGAGGTCCAGCTGGAGTTGTCTGCTGGACTCCGACTGTGAATTCATCCTGAAACAACCTCTGATACAGAACAACCAGCAAGGCATGCTGGGAGTTAACTGCAGCCACAAGGTCAGTCACAAGAAAACCCAACAAGAGGCCGTGTGATTGGCTGAAGCTCGTCACACTTTACCTGGTTTAACTGTGTGTGTGTGTGTGTGTGTGTGTGTGTGTGTGTGTGTGTGTGTGT